AATAAATAAGTTTTTTTTTAACATCCATGCTTTGTTGCAACACAAATTTTTTGTTGATATAATAGTATTTGAGATTGAAGGTAAATTAACGACCAATAACCTTTTTTATTATGATTTTTTTATTTGTTATATATATATTATAACATGTATCAAGTTGTATACTCATTACTAATAGATGTTTTAGTGTTTTTAATGTTATTAAAGTTATAATATTTATTTTTACTATTTGTTATTCATACATGTAAAGATTAACATATGTTAATGAGTATACAACCTGACATATGTTATAGTATTTTATAAAATCATCATTTAAATCAGATACATGAACTTACATACATAATATACAACATTATGCATATTCTTTCATAATCATTCTCAATAATTTACATATTAAATTATTAGTTTTGTCATTTATTAATACATAATGTTTTTGTTAATAGATATTATTGATAATAGTCATTCAATGCTATAAGTTAATAAAGTCTTTTAAAGTTGTAATAATTTAATGCTAAATAATTTTAGGTTGAATATAAGGAGGTTTAATATTAAAATAAGTTTTTTATACAATTAAGTTTTTTTTGGAACCGGCAAATATTTATTAAAAAAAGACCCCGCCTAGCAAGGTGCTAGGGGGCGAGAGAACAAAGGAAGAATTACAAACAACATATGGGGTTAACACACCATTCTATCCACTGCATAGAGAATTGACTCCTCCTTTACTTAGACCATGTGAATACGTTAGATTTTATCAGATCGACGACTTTGGCTGGCGAGGGCCTAATCTTCTTGAAAATCCAGTCGCATCTAGCCTTCCAAATATGCCATATGGTTCCATAACAAATGTTGATTAAGCATCTCTTTTTCTTTGGACACGACCCCCATTGTGCTGTGAATTCCACCAAATAATGCATGTTGCAAAATTGGTAACCTGGTATGCCACACCATTGGAATATCCATTCCCAGACTTTGGCTGCCATTGGGCATTGAAGAAGGACATGAGCAACATCTTCATCTTTATCTTCACAGAACGTACACGTAGGGGATGTGACTTGAATACCCCTTTTAATTAAGGCGCAAGCAGTTGGGATTCGATCAAGGTAGGCTCTCCACATAAAGTAAGTAACCTTTAAGGGTACGTCGTGTGTCTAGGTTATTGCTACTGCACCAGGTTGCATGTCTCTCTGGTCGATTCGCAGTCTAAGGTCTTCCACATGAAATATGCCATCATTGGAGAGCTTACAAACCCACTTATTATTTCTTGTCCCTAATTGAATATTACTCACCCTATTGAGAAGCAAGTCAGCTTCATGAATCTGCTCAGGTGAGGTAATAGAAGCCTTCCAGTTCCAGACCAAGCCTCCAGGGTGAATCCTTTCGTTGACCATGCAGTGTTTGTGTCGCTCCAGTTTGTACATTTCAGGGAAGGAAGCTTTTAAGGTCATATTTCCAGTCCACCTGTCATGCCAAAACATTGTTTTTTCTCCTGTACCAACCTCCTTTAGAATTACATCTTCAATATTAATTCCAACTTTCATCAGCTCTCCTCTGGCTTGAGTTATGTTCTTCCATACCCCCTTAATTGATTGCTTAGACATATAGTCTGCTGGCTTATTTTTAAGATTATGGATACCTTCGATGACTTTACTTCATAGGCACGTGTTTTCAACTCTCAGCCTCCACCACCATTTCATTATTAGAGAAAGGTTGAGAGCCTTTAACGAACCCAATCCCATGCCGCCATTTTCTTTGGGTGCTGTCACCTTTCCCCATGAGACCCAATTGATCTTCCTTGAATCCTCCGATCCTCCCCATAGAAACCATCTTCTTATTTTTTCCAGAGCATTTAGGATACCTGCGGGAGCAATAAACAGAGAGAAATAGAATGTTGGGAGGCTACCAAGGACAACTTTAGTAAGAGTTAGACGCCCCCCTAGGGATAGATTTTTTGATTTCCAAGTGCTTAGTCTTAATTGAAAATTTTCAATCACTGGTTTCCAATATTTTTTTAACTTCATGTTCACCCCAACCGGAACCCCCAAGTAAGTGAAAGGAAGATTTGCAGGTTCACATCCTAGAGGTCTAGCAAGAGATAGGACTTCTTGCGAGTCAACTCCAATTCCAAAAACTCGAGATTTTTTAAAGTTGACTTTGAGACCAGATGCTACATGGAAGCATCGAAGTATTCTCGCAAGGTTCTTGATGTTCTCTTCACTCCAATCCCCCACAAAGAGTGCGTCGTCTGCGTAGAACATATGCGAAACAGTCAAGTCACTGTTCGGTATTTTTTTCCCCCTGAAGAAACCTTTTCCGCATGCCTCTTTCATAGCAATATTTAGGCCCTCCATTGCTATTATGAACAACAATGGCGATAAGGGATCGCCTTGTCTAATTCCCCGACTAAATCCAAATTCGTTTGTTGGGGAACCATTGACGAGGATCGAAGCCCGTGATGATCTTAGGCAGCCTTGAATCCAACCTCTCCATTTTTCACCGAATCCCATTTGCATCTGAATATGGTCAAGAAAACCCCAGTTAACTGAATCAAAGGCTTTGTTAAGATCTACCTTAAACAACAACATCTTTTCTTTCGACTTCTTAGCCCATGAACAAAGTTCATTGATTATTAGGGGCCCGTCCAAGATATTCCTGCCCTCAACGAACGCTGTCTGAACATCGCCAATACACGCACCAATCACCTTCTTCAGTCTAATGGATAGGGCTTTTACAATTATCTTATATATACTACCAATTAGGCTTATGGGACGGAAGTCGCCCACTGTAATCAGGTCTTTTGTCTTAGGGACAAGAGTGAGGAATGAGGCATTACAACCCTTTTCTATCCTTCCAGTACTCTCGAAGTGTTTGACAGCTCTAACTATATCGTCTTTTAATAACTCCCAATATCTCTTTATGAATTTGAATGAGAAGCCATCGGGACCGGGGGATTTTTCGCTACCACACGACCAGATAGCTCCTTTTATCTCCTCGACAGTGAATGGGACTTCAAGACTTGCACTTGAAGCAGGATCCAGAGAGGAGAAGTTTGGGTTGAAGAACTTGGGTCTTAGGGGCCACTTCTCTTGGAACTTAATCTGATAAAACCTGAAGATCTCCGATTTGATAGTTTCAGCCTCCGTAGTCCATACCCCATCAATTAGTAACCCTGCAATATTGTTTTTTCTCTTTTTGTTGTTAACGAATCCATGGAAAAAGGATGAGTTTTCATCCCCGTCGACTGCCCATTTGATTTTTGCCCTCTGTTTAATGTCTGAGACCGCATACTTTTCCAGTTCAGCTATCTTTTTAAACCCAACCCTTCTTTCGGTAATCTCTGTATCACTAAGAGTACGTTCCTCTGCTGCTAAGTCGAGTTCATGTACTTTCCTTTTTGTTTCTTGCAATTCTTGTAGCTCCTTTGGGTAGTTTGTGGCCCGCCATTTCCTTATTTCATTCTTCAAGAATTTTAGTTTGGACTTCAGGTACATGTCAGGGGTGCCAAATCCCCTAAATTCTACCCATGCTTTCTTTACAATTTTTTCAAACCCCTCACGATCTAGCCATGAATTAAATAGCCGGAATGGAGGTTTCCCATAGTCAGGGAGGGATGTTTGTAGGATAACAGGGCAATGATCAGACAATTCTCAAGGGAGAGCTGTAGTGGAGGAGGAGGGGAATAAGTGGATGAAGTTATTACAGACCAAGAATCTGTCAAGTTTGCTCAGTTTGAAATCAGTTTGGCATAGGAAGGTGAATCTGTGGCCTCCCATTCGAAGATCATGCAATCCGGTTTCAGATATAAACCGATTAAAGTGAAATGCAGATGATGGGCAAAATTGGGAATTTAGTCGCTCCACCCGTCTACGGACACTTCTACGGACAGTAAATGTTCTACGACTTAGTTAATTGTTTAATGATCATAGTAGAACATTTAATAGTTATAATTATATAACCATGTCGTTCAAAAAAATAATTATATAAACATACATCAATAAAAATAGTCAAATTTTCTTGTAGAGCTTATCCAAATAAATGTGTTCAGTAAATTTTTTGTATAATATACTTGACGAACTTCTATAACTGCTGATTCATTATTATATAAAATTATTATTATTTTTTTTTTAAACGGGTCTCATGATTTAAAATCATCATATATAATAGTTCTAGAAAAGATATTTTCACCACTAACCTCATATTTATTATTATTTAAAAACTCAAATTAATCACTATAAATATCATTCACATTACTTTATATTATTTTATGTCTATATAAGTATTAGTTATATATTATTATTTAAAAACTCAAATTAATCACTATAAATATCATTCATTGACTCTTAATAATTAATGTAAATTTTTTTTAACAACTTTGATATTATTTTTTATTTAATTTTACTATAAGAATAAAACTATATTATAAGATAAAAACATACATAGATTTTATTATGCATTAACTATTAATTATTATAATGTTTAAACATTAACTTTAATAGTTGTATATGTTATTATATTATTCCAATAAATTAATCACTATAAATATCATTCATTGACTCTTAATAATTAATGTAAAATTTTTTTAACAACTTTGATATTATTTTTTATTTAATTTTACTATAAGAATAAAACTATATTATAAGATAAAAACATACATAGATTTTATTATTCTATGTATGCATTAACTATTAATTATTATAATGTTTAAACATTAACTTTAATAGTTGTCTATATTATTATATTATTCCAATAATGATAATATTTTACATCAACTATTAATTACTGTAATGTTTAAACATTAACTAATTGATGTATATATTTTACATCAATATATTTTAAACCAAAGTATATTTTATGTAATTTTGACTATTTAACTATATTCATGGGCAACGTGCCGATATTCATGTATATATGACCCACACCAATCTTTTTGTAAAAGCCAGAATCTTAGTATTATAAATAACAACATACTCATAACATTTATTCTACAACTGACAACTGCCATTAATTTATTGGCACCTTGGATTGTCACGACTACCTGGACCTCCATAAAAGAACGATGGCTCCTTAACGTATTCTTTCAAGAGGTACGCATCATAGCAGTCCCACTCATCGGAGCTAGGGTAAAGATTTTCTGGTGGCTTTAGAGGATTCGAATTTTCTTCAATCAACATCCCTTTTATCGTTCCTGAACTCCCAAATATGAAATCAGCATACTTTCCACTGCCCATGGCTGTTGCTGTATGTGGGTGGGTTCCAACATTCGGGCTCGAGACTTCACCTCCCCATTGGACCAAGTTTGCTTGATGTCTCAGTATCGGAAAGATTTCCCCTGGCCAATACCCTACTTCCTTGTCGTTGTATCTTAAAAACCAGTTCGATGTGTATGGATCCTACATGCATGTAAGAACTATAGGATATTAGGAATCATTGACTATAGATAAAAGAGATGATTTTTACTAACCTTGGATATTTGAATTGTGATGTCAGATCCATATAAGTCACTAATATCCCCTCCAAGAACGACCTCACGTGATGTCTGAACGAATCCAGGACAAGTGAGATCAAAGCACCCTGTATTTTTCATACCATCGGTCTGTATAACATATGTTAATTAATTAAAAACATGGTAGCTTAGCAAGATACAAATTGCTTATGATTAGTGTTTTGGAACTTACTGTCCAATATGTAAATAAGTGGGCGTTGTTGTCATTGTATACTTTTGGGTTTACCTGAAATTATTCATAAACACCACCTTATTATCAACTCAATGGAATAAAGTATTAACAAATAGTCTTTGTATATGTAGTTAATATAATACTAACTGCCCATCCAGCTTCTGCGGTATCGAAGGTTTGTAAAGGGCCATTCCTTAGCATAACTTTGGAGCTACTGTAGTCATTGTCAGACTCGACGTATGGTTTCCATACTCTGATGTTTGCTTTAGCTCCTGAGTAACTGAATCCTTCGGTTAACACCACTGAAAACTATAGAATATAGATACAGGTTATATGTATATATGTTATATGTATGTATATATGTGGTTAATCAAAAGAAGATGGAGGCGGTGGATTAGTTACCGAGTGATGTGGGGTTACGATAACCTTGCTGGGATGAACGTTAGTTGGATGGCTAATTGATGTTCTTCGAATTGGGATTGTTCCGTTTGGACAACTTCCATATTGTTGCCACATTTGTGATGGTACCTTGGGAGATGTCCTCGTTTGATCTGTTGTTGAATGAAGATGATTCGACTTCATCTGATAGGCATATGCGTATATTTATTAACTAAAGATTACCATATTCATTCTTAGTTAATTATTGATATAGTTGATAATCTTTTGAATAACAAAATTTTATATATTAGTATTATTTAATTATTATTTAAAATTAGAAACAATTAAAATAAAAATTAAAAACAAAGTTTTTGTTTGTCTAGAATATTTTTTGCAATTTCAAGGGTACCACACAAGTGTTGTGTTTGTTAATAAGTTTATGTTATAATACAAGGGATTGGACGGTCATTGTAATAGAAAAAATTAATGCAAGTCCAAAATCCATTCTATGAAGTGTAACTCCCACCTATAATGTATTCAATATTTAAAAATTTAGTAGATTTCAAATGAGAATAGTGTTTTAATCATTTAATTAAAAATGAGAATCATACTTTTTCCATTTAACCATTCAATACAAATTGAAATCTTTATTGATTTCAACATCCACATCGTTAACTTATAATGCAATCAGCTCTTATTTAATATGGCATCATCTCTTATCTCCTCCACTCTTATTAACCTTTATTTTATTTGGGTTGTGGATCCTTTAGAAAATTGTTTAATTTTACAAGTACATTGGATTTTTAGAGGGAAGTGTCAACAAAAATAATAGAAAATAATAACTCAACTATTTAAAAGATGAAAAGAAAAAACAATACCTGAATGATATGATTCTTTAGAGCTGGATGCTCAAATGCCGGTTGCTTGTAGATATCAACACAATCAATAATGTCTCCGTTTTTAACCTACGCAAATATTTTTAATCAGTTTTCAAAAGAAATCAACATTCCAAAGGGCATTTATCTATGACAAAAAGGTGTTGTGTAAGTATATTTTATAGAGTAGCATATACCAATAATATAGCATCGTAAGTCAATATATACTTACAAATCGAAAAAACATATACATATCAAACAATTTCTTTAGTATTATGCTATAGAGATATAAGAAAAACATGAAGCTCGAACCCGAATAGTTTTTATCGGACGACTTTTAGGAATGTTTGTTTTTTGTGATGTGACTATCGGTATGGGTGTTATGAGCAATAGAGCAAATATTATCAACTTGAAGGCCATGGTACAAATGGAAATCAATGAACATGAAATGGTGCAAGTATATATATATATATATATATATATATATATATATATATATATATATATATATATATATATATATATATATATATATATATATATATATAAAAGTTTCTTTAATGTATTTCTACAAAAATAGTCAACATTTTTCCAACCACCTTATTGATTGCATCTATTTATAAATATACAACAAATTTTCTTTTAAAATATTATATTGTACAACTTTATAAATGACAAACTTTATAGCTTTCTATAACTATAAACATACATAATAATTACTAAAAGAATTAAGTTTGTAGATATATTGTTATTTTGGATTGTTGTGGTATACATTTAAAATATATATATATATATATATATATATATATATATATATATATATATATATAATATATATGAATAAGCTTCTTTAATGTATTTTTACAAAAATAGTCAACCTTTGGTTGGAAAAAAGTTGACTATTTTTGTAAAAATACATTAAAGAAGCTTATTCATATATTATATATATATATATATATATATATATATATATATATATATAATATATATATATATATATGAATAAGCTTCTTTAATGTATTTTTACAAAAATAGTCAACCTTTTTCCAACCACCTTATTGATTGCATCTATTTATAAGTACACAACAAATTTTGTTTTAAAATATTGTATTGTACAACTCTATAAATAACAAACTTTATAGCTTTCTATAACTATAAACATACATAATAATTACCAAAAGAATTAAGTTTGTAGATATATTGTTATTTTGGATTGTTGTTGTATACATTTAAAGCATATATATATATATATATATATATATATATATATATATATATTATATATATATATATATATATATATATATATATATATATATATATATATATATATAGGGGGAGAGAGAGAGAAAAAGAGAGAGAGAGAGAGGAAAAAGAGAGATAGGTTCAAGTATTCTAACTAATTATTATGCAGATATCGTATGCTATGAGAATGATAAAGAAAATATGTTGCTTGATAATATAAATATGTTCAATCTTACATAACTATTGTCATTAACACAAATTCTCACTAATTAAATCGTCTATAAGAATATTATACATTTATTATTATTATTCTCATTTCTGACAGAATGTTTATTGGGTTGTATTCTGTCAGAATGAAAATGAGTGAAAAACGATGCGTGAGAACAAAAATAAATAATAATTAGCGAGAATGCATGGAAATGACGATATTTTTATAAGGTTGAACGTATTCGCATTGCTAAACAATTTATTCTCTTAGTAATTCTCATAGCATACGATATCCGCACAATAATTAGTTAGAATCGAATAATCTAAGCGCATATATATATATATATATATATATATATATATATATATATATATATCTTGTAAAGGAGGGTATCCAAATCTTTGTAATCCAAGATAGACCCATATCTTAAACAACATTCATTTGAAACTTCCAATACCTTTCAACTTATCATACTTGATTGTTTTGTTTATATATATATATATATATATATATATATATAATATATATATATATATATATATATAGAGAGAGAGAGAGAGAGAGTGAGAGAGAGAGAGAGTAAATTAAACGAATGGTCCCTATGGTTTAGGGTAATTTGCATGTTTAGTTCCTGACTTATTTTTTTAACTTGGAAGGTCCCTACTGTTTATTTTTGTTACACGTTTGGTCTCTGTTTTACATAAAAAAAACTATTTTTCCTTGATTTTCTAATTTATTTAAATAAACACTCTCCTAACCCCACCCCTCTAACCTTACATTGCTTATCCCACTATTTTTTTCCTATTTAAATAATAGTTTTTTAGGTAAGATAGGGACCAAGAGTGTAACAAAAACAAATGGTAGGGACCAAGCGCGTAACAAAAACAAACAGTAGGGACCTTCTAAGTTAAAAAAATAAGTTAGGGACCAAACATGCAAATTACCCCAAACCATAGGGACCATTTTTGCAATTTACTCATATATATATTATATATATATATATATATATATATATATATATATTATATATATATATATATATATATATATATATATATATATATTATATATATATATATATATATATAAGCTTCTTTAATGTATTTTTACAAAAATAGTCAACCTTTTTCCAACTACCTTATTGATTGCATCTATTTATTTATAGAGGAAACTGTCTCGTAGACAACAATTTTTCTCCGTACATAACAAATTGTGTTTTAAAATATTGTATTGTACAACTCTATAGATAACAAATTGTTGTGTTTGGAGAAAAATTGTTGTGTACGAATCACTTCCCACAAACTCTACAACTTTCTACAACTTTGTAACATCCCGACTCCCAAGTATAATATTTAATTAATTTATATTCATGTTGTTAGAGCAACTCGACGAGTTGGAAGCCCCAACTTGACGAGTAAAGAGTTAAAATGGCTGCATGATTTTAGTGTCTACTCGGCGAGATGGAGGCCCCCAACTCGATGAGTAGGAGCTTGAGTTTGAAAACCATAATTTTTAGGGTTTGTACCCTATTTAAAGGACCTTAAGCCTTCATTTCTGCCTCCCTTATCATCTTGACATACTGAGAGAAACCCTAATCGAGCTGTATTCATCTGAGAGAGAGAGAGAGATAGAGAGATAGATAGATAGATAGATAGATAGAGAGAGAGAGAGAGAGAGAGAGAAAGGCTAAGATTGTATGTTCTAGTGTATTTTTGGAAGGAGGTTAAAGAGCAAAAGGCTTGGAACGAGAAGAAGCCCTTGGATCCGGTGTTCTTTCAGTACTAACTTCTATTTGGAGGTAAAAAGCTATCACCTTGATTATTGTTTGGTTAGATCTCTTCACTAAGAGTTTATGGCCATTTCCATCTTTTCTTTGGGTCCTTAAGTTGTTTGAGCTTGCCATGGAGTTGAGACTTTAGATCTGGACAATATGAGGTCCTTAGGGCCTAAAGATTCATGCTTTATCAAGCTATTGTCTAGATTTCATGCATTAAACCCTCAATAAATCTTGTTTTGGCATTATGAGCCCTAGAAGCCATGCATGGACGTAAAGCTTGCAACTTTACGTGATACTTTAGCCTTAGAAGGCTAGATCTAGAGTATGAAGCCTTAGTTCTGCTTAAAAATGTCTGAATGAGAGAATGGGCTAAAGGTACTCAACGAGTTGATGAGCCAACTCGACGAGTTTTCTAGGATTTCCCCCGATAGTCTGGATGCGTTGCAACTCGGTGTAACGTCTGCAGATCCGGGCTAGTCAATTTAGAGACGATAAGCGTAAAAAATGACTTTTTGATAGATGAATACTTAGAATAAATAATCTTATCTAAGTTTTAGTATATGTCACAAGTTTTTCATACATATAACGAACGCATAAATCGAAGTTATAACGAAGAAATTATGACCTGTCGAAGTTTCGCGACAAAACTGATACGACATCGGGAATCATAAAAAGTGAGTTTATGACAAAGTACTTTTTAGCCTTAGTGACCTAAAAGAAATTTGTAGAGTACATCTCCACATACGCCTGGATATAAAGAACGTCAAAAACGGAGTTCGTATGCAAAATTTATGGCATTCCGAAGATACAGTTGTCTGAGAGCATGACACATGTTAGAAACCCTAATTTGACTGGATTCACGACGTGGACATGAGATTAACGATGTGAAACTAGTCAAAGACACTAATCGAGGCTAGAAAACACGTGCCAGGCCTACAAGTGTGTTGTGTTAAGAGTTCACGACGTGAATATTTAATTCATGACTTGAAATGTCATCCTGACACCTTTCGAAGCTAGAACGCATATGACAAGCCTATGAGGTGATTCATCCATGGGTCACGACGTGAACATCAGGTTCACAGTGTGAATGTCGAGTTTC